GAAAGGACGACAGCACCGTCTAAAAAGTTTATCGTTGGGTGAACCACTCCCTCCCAATCGTCCGCTAAGCCGTACGGCCCGCCGTGGCTAGATTCTCTAAGCACCACGTTGCGTCCTGCCTGACAGGTGATTTCCTGAGGACCACTTCGGTTGAACTGAACTACGACTTCTCGCCCTTGTTTGCTACGGGAATCTGCTTCTTATCGCTTGTCTGAACACTGTTCGTTTTCTTATGTCGGGATTATGGCTGACGATGTATTAGGCGCAACTCGTTCTTTTTTCTTCACGGAGTCCGGCATCCTTAGCTTGCTAGTCAGAAGGTTCTCCGCCGGTGTCCTTCCACGACCATCGACATCGACCAATGAGGGAAGGAAACGCACGAATGTAGTAGCCAAGGCTAGAATGAACGACGAGAGTCCCTTCTCATAAGAGGAGATATGAAATGAAGAACGCGCGCACATCGTTTTTCGCTGTCATTGTACAACCTCAACCGGAGGTGTTAGTTGTCTTCAACATCATCGCAGGGTGGAGGGAGAATCGAGGAAAGTTTCAACGATTAATTTAGCAAAAACTGAGGCGATCCTGAAGAAATAGATCCATCTCTAGCGGAGGAGAGATTCTCCGCAAAATATATGTTCAAAATCAGAAACAGGGAATTTCTGGGTCCATCAATGGACATAGCGTTTCCAGAACAGTTGATTAGGACTAATCAAGGTATGCTGAGGGTTTCTTGCCCTCAGTTTTTTCAGCCTCCGAGTCTTCGTTCCGACGTTCTGCGAGAACGAGCCTACTTCTTGGCCTGTATTTTATGAAATAATCAAGATAAGGGGGGAATTGATTAGCATGAACGGTGCCTCATTCTCAGCCGGACATATTCAGCCATCACCATTTTCATTGTCAAACGCTCTGTTTCAGAGAAGTAAGCTCGACACGTTTGTTACACGGGTGACTCGCATAGGAAAACGGCGTAAGCCTCTAGCAGACGGCCCCAGCACATACGCATGCTATCTCCGAGATTCGAATTTTTTCGAGCTTTGGCCCCCCAATACTCCCCATTGAAGTTGGTGCCCGTTACCGGGGGCTATAGCGTAGTTCTACGCTAAAAACGACGCGCTGAGATGTGAAAGAACGATTCGACCTGTTCGGCGGCCTAGCCGGGAGCACCAGCAGGCGGAATAGTCTAGTTCCTATTTGCGTATAGACCGAGAAAAAGCGCTTATCCAAATTACCGTTGACGTGACCTCACCGGTCATTGCCGAACTTCTTTTAGTGTCTTCATAGCCATCGCGCGAGGGGAGGCCTAGTTCGCTTATTCATAGCAGAATACTTTCCCGATACTGGGTCGTGAGGGAACTTCGGTTTTGCCCATAACGTGAAGAGGGTAGCTTCATCGCGAGTTGTCAAATTCGGAAACTAGACCAAGCGCGGACGGAAATCTACGTGACCCGGAATGAAAAATTGTGGAACGTGGCGGGATGTCAAATCGGGGTAAGGGCAGAGTCTTCTCGGAGAGCTCAGGGGCTGATCGCTGCAGCGCTGATCGATCCGGAAGAAACCTCCCGCAAAGCGGAGGAATTTCTCTGTGAACCGCGACGAGCGAAAAAAGTCAGCGGTCGAAAATCGTCGAAGGATGGTTAGCTCTTAGTGCCCCCAAGTTCGGTAGAGCCCCATTCTTCGGCTGCATTCGATTTCAGCGAGAACGCCTTCGCCCGTGGCGGAGCGAGTAATGCGCGAAAGCCGAGAGCATAATCGACAGCGATTAGAGGCTCGACGCCCGCTGATGGGCCGCTAATCAATTTGTGATGGGTTGCGAAAGATCGAAAAGAATTCCTGTCAGAGCTCGATGGAATAGACGGATTCTTCCCTGCGACCGGGAATCATCGGCAGACGGGACGGATGGTGGCACTGAATTACTTTGTCGGCGTACGACTTCTGCAGGTGTATCGTACAGCTGAATGACCTGAGACTCCCGAATTCCCACGCAATCATCTTGTGCACCTGAGCTCACCTTCCACTGATTTCTAGTCTGTCGATTGTTTTTCGTGTTGTTGCTGAAATGTGTGAGGTACACAGAAGTTTGCGACTGTCCCCCACGAAGCAATGATCTCTGATTAGGATTACGGCGGAGAACAGCTCGCAGGTAGGCGTTCCGGATACAAGCTTGAACCTGAAAATTGAAGAAGGGAATATGTTCTTTCGAGAGTCCAGTTCCGGTTCATTGAAACCGAGGCGGAAGATCAGGAACGATCGCCTCCAATCTTTTTTTCCAGTAGCAAAGGCTCGATCACATTATGTGACCTCGGATTACATACCTCGGAATTCATGAAGCAGTAGATCACCGAGACGAAAATCCCCTGCAACGGGTACGATTCACAATGAGAATATTCATAAATATCCGCTCATGATGATCCAGACTCTGGCTCGTCACGGAATTCCGAATACATCCGCGATTCACAGTAAGACAGAGAGTATTGGTAATCGGGTTACCGCAGGAAAGAGAGCGATGTACCGCTTCATATTATTTATATATGTACTTCTCGGCGAAGTCCCGCCGAATACTGCGACGGGCAAGGAGTCTCCAGCAGATGTAGGGGCAAAGAGCAATCTCATTATCATCGGAAACAGCGGAAATGACGTCCTTGAGAATCGCTTGGAAATTGGCCGAGGCCTTAAGCCGAGGCGAGACGTCAAACAGGAGTGCATGATTGAGGCGTTCGCTGGTAGTGTCAACATTCCGTCAATAAAACTCAATGAACTTCGACCTTGAGGCCGGTCTGTCCACCGTCGTCCTCGGTACAAAGTTTCAGAGTTCCGTTTGCAAACCCAGAGTCGAAAGTACCTAATCTCTGTGCCGCTCTTCGTTCAAGATTGCTTCGCGCCCTCGGTAATGATGCTAATTTTCCCACCATACAAGTCATTCATGAATCAATTTCGAGCCGCTCTTACCTGAGAAGATTGTAAACTGGCATTGGTGAGCATGTACAGGTTTTTCAGACGCACGTCCGCTTCTTGGGGGTTGATGCAGAATAATAAATGCGTGAGACCCAGGAGTGGAAATAGGAGGATGGTCGCCTTGATCGCTTTCCTGGAATTGAACCTATTTGACATTACTGCCCAAACGCTTCTGATTTTCATCCTTTGGGAGTCGACACACGATTTAAGGTCCCCTCTCCGCACGGCTCACGATAGGAAGACCCTAAAACGGTATGAACATCGGCTGCGACCCCTGTCGGAGTCGGAATTTCATCCTGGGCCCTTGGAGGAGAAGTTTCTAGCCGATTCCACGGATCCGATGGAATACCCTCGGAACGAGCGCTCCGTTCCTCTATCGAGTCGATGATCTTTTCTGAACTCGACCTCCCCCGGGGTCGATCTTTCTCGGGAAGCTCCTCTTTCAACCCCTTATCTTCTCTCCTCCTGTGGAGTTCTTGACCGATTGGTTCTAAAAAGCAGACGATCGGGAAGCTCCGAGAGCTCGAGGTCCGTCGATCCTTTTCCGAGACCTTCTTGGCGGAATCAAATCGAAAGTACTTCACCGCAGTTCATGCGGCCGGAGATTGCACGCGCGGACGACATCTCCGCGAAGGTTCCGCGCCAATGATTCAACATACGAAGACTCAATGATTCGTGTTAGAGAGCTCGATTCAAAGTTATTCGGATTGAGGTACTCAATCACCGGAGCCAATGAAGATTCTATTCAGTTCATCTTTTTCCGGCGACACGCCGGAGGAGCTCTTCGACAATGAGGAATCGAGCTCGTTCTACCGGTCGTCTTCGTCTCAAACTGACAGAGGTCCCAACTCACTTAAATTGAGTGTTCTCAGCCGAGACGGCCTTCACGCGTGTGACCAAGATCCGGATGATGTTGACCAGGAACATGAAGTTAATCTGAAATACAATCTCGATCAGAGGAACAATCGATTGCTTGCACAGTTTTTCATCCCACACATTCTCTCCATTCTCAGCTTCGGATTCTTGACTAATCCTCGCCATGAATCGACTCGAGACCTCTCAGGATGGGAGAGCGCGGAGATCCGGCGTTCTTGTGAAGCACGAAGTGTTCCGCGCTCGCGACGGATCCCCGCCGAGAGGGTTCTCAGAGATGCGGCTGGGCGCGTGAGACGTAAAGGCGAAGCGAATCAACAATTCCGACGAACGAATTCGATCATGGAAGTTCGAGGCGTGCACTTGAAATCGCTCGAGGAGAAAAACGTAAACACATGTTGCCGCTCCTTAGTTCTTTGAACTCGAGACGAGTGAGCGATCGTCGATGTCTGAATCTCTAGCGACATCGATTGTTCCTCTTTCCAAAAACTTTGGGAATTTCCGCTCGAAGTATCTTCGGATCCTGGAGTTCCCGGAACTTGCCTTCCTCTCCCTCCTCCCCCCTCTTACCCCAGGAGATGGTGTGACGGTCGACTTTGACCAGTTCAAGCCTCGCATCCCTCCGTCTCAGGTAAAAAGCTTCATGTCGGATGGGCCTCCACGGAATTCCAGACACTTTCACCTTTCAGAATCCATCCGAGGACGCACCGATCTTCGGAGCCCCAATAGTAGAGTTTCCTGAGACCCAATGCCTCTCTGGGCTATGCTTGCGGACTATCAATGCGCTACCTGAACTCAAACTCTTGGTCTGGCTGCGGGCCTCAACATTGATGGCCCAAAATAGAAACTATCGGTTATACCACCCGCTAGTGCGTTTCCCCGGACTCTGCGCCAGTTCATTGCTTCTTGGGCTACCCGGGAGCTGCTTTTTGCTCTTCCGCTTGAGACTGAGTAGGGAACAACTTACGGTGACAGCGGCCAGTCTCGGGGCTATTATAAGCCACAACCAGGGCGAATCGACGTATCCTTCCCAGCAAGTGGAGGAGCCCATCTCCTTTTCCATCTCCCAAGCCCACGGAGCGCAAAATATTAGTGGAACACCTTGAATGAAGTTTCCTGATAAGTCCGTGCATCAAACTTACGGGAATTCTTCCCTGAGAATATCTACTCCGGAACGCACTGCGAAACCCCTTAGACGGTCTCGGAGAAAGGACAAATCTCTCACCCCATCCTATGAAGTAATATAATTTGAAGGGTGGGGGTTTCGTTTGAAAAATAGATGTGGTTATCCTAGAATGTAGAAGGATGCCTTCGACGAACATCCAGTTGATTGTCGAAGACGATGAGTACATCTTGAGCAGAAGGATAGTTTTGCAAAACCACGGCTGAAATATTTTTTACATAAGAAGCGTTTTCGAAGGTCGGGAGGCATCCACCAAAGATTTTCTCCTGTGAATGAGCAGGGCGTGCCCGGGAGAATAACAATTATTGTCCTCATGCAACTCGTTCGTGATCATCAAGGTCAGTACTAAATCGAATGAGGCCGTCAATCAAATTTACCGTCTGGCGAATGAGTGATCCGGCATCTTCCTCGTCCCCACTATTGATTGCGATCGACATCGATAAAGATATTAGCATGATTGAATTTATGATCAGAGACACGACCAGATTGAGGTGAACTCTGGTGCGGCTGCAATGCAGTGACCTAGAAATGAACATGGGGTACAGTCTTAGCTTCAGTTTGTTTCACTTTGTACCCTCTTCCCCATACGATCTATCGCATAGGATGCGCCCCTCATGATTGCCTCGTTGATTTTTTCAATGCATCGAACAAAACTCTTCTCTGATCCCAACGCAAAGTTCGCTCGGCAGAAAACCATAACTCTTGATCATGATTTGAGTTCGGCTGATTGTGAGTTACGAAAACCGCATGAGTCGCCGTTACTCTCAGAATAGAACGCAAGACGCTGTCACCTACGTCGACGCCGACGCGATGGGGGCGCGACGGCGAGAGAAAACACCTATCGAGCCTGGGCCTCGCTTATGAATGGAACTACTCGGACAGATGCCTACGTAATCGAATGAATGATTGAGTCCTCCAATCTCGGGGCAGGGGGAGAATTTCGTGAGATCTATCGACCAGAGTCAGACCCGGGCCGGAAGCGCTTCCGGAGGTTCAGCTTCCGGAGGGATCCTTCGGCTTTGATCGCCCTGAAAATGATCGTATGGAGAAAGTTCGAGCAGCTACCCAGCTACATTAGAGGTCTTGGTCTTCCAATCACAGGAAGTTGCGGTAGAACACAGTGCGATTCCAGGAAACATCGATAGGATAGTCAATCGAGAAACCACCAACGGCGCCCGTCTCGGATCAATCAGGTGGGTTCTATCTGAACCTCGGGATGGACACGAGAGTGCCGTGAAGAGCCTGAATCAAATGCAGCGAACTCCGACCAAAATCCGAGCGCCTATCCGAAGGCGGTCTACCCGCGAGTTCTCTTGACGCCTCCTGTCGCAGGAATGGACGCGCGTTCGACAAAGCGCCAGAGACACCACTATTCCAAAGGAACAAGATCACGGTCATGAACACGCTGCACTGGACGCTTAGCAACAGTTGGTCCGAGATGCCGCAGCCTAACCCGTATCTCCTCGAGATCGGAAGACTCGATCAGCAGCGATGGTCCCCTCAACGCCGGATCTCTTATCATTGTCTCGATTGCAGAGCTTCCTGCTTCCGCGCGTCGAATTCCGAAATCCAAATGCTTACTTATTCATGTATGCTTCCCTCGAGGCTTGAGGAGGGTTCTCGTAGCAGGGACTTATGAAAGCGCTCCATCTTCACGGAATTCCAAGAACTCGAAACGCTCGATGCAGCGCGCAGCGTCGAGTTTCTACCCCCCGCCCTTCACGCCCAAGCCCCCGACGACTGGCGGCCACAACCCGTCGCATAGGAAGCGCGGAAATTCCTCGATTTACGGTGGTAAGTAAGGATATTGTTTCATCGAGCCACCATCGATTCTTTGCTTGCCTCCGTGACGGCTGCGTTACCAAAACAGCGACCGCTGCCCGGACATCGGATAAAACCGGTTGGAGTTCGGAACAGGATTCCACCGAAAGACTGGCGAGATCCGAAAACAGCGAGCACGGGGTCCGAGCCTGACCGCGTTCCGTCCTCGCAAGGCACGACGATCATATACAATGATGATAATTTAAATTGGGATTGAGGAAATCGCATCTGAGGCGAACTCTTATATCTCCACCCACGATCCGGGTCTTTCCGCTCATTCGAATCGGTCGTTAAGGCAGACAATATGCTCTTCGTCCTTGGGAACCTGTTTTCATAGACTTGGAAGAGATGAATGGAACCGGATCAATGAGCACTCGTGAGAGTTCGCAGCGAAGTGAGGCTCGACGGATTCTGCACTCACTAGAGTTTCTTGTGAAAATTGACAATCCGGAATGGGGCATGTACTCGTTTGCGGAGAAACTGTGGAAAAATAGCGACCGAGAATACCCACTCGCGAAAAGATCGCAAATGGGGACCTCTATTCATTACCGGACTTTACGATCTCATTAGCGATTTCTGACGCTCCTGTGATCGGCTCCGCTATTAATTACTACGACGACGAGAGCGTGTAGCCGATACTGACCCGCCGCATCCGCTTTGACAGTACCGAATTGATCAGTGCTTATCCCGTATCACCTCGAAGGGGAGATTGCTTCCTGTGTTTTGCCGGAAATGGACTGGAGATATTCCTACAATCGGGCGCCAGTCGTAGAAGAGTATTCATTCTGGCAGAACACTCATTGAGCTCTCCATGATTTTCCGTCAGATCTTTTCCCTACATTCCCGAAATATGGGCCTACCCTACAGGTACCTTCCATGTCACACATCGGATAAAATGGTGCTCTTCCAGCATGACATGTTGCCTCCCGATCTCCCTAAAGGTTGGTCGCTCGAACAACGTGCACCGGCCATCGGGCGTCATCAGGGGAATTCCGACACACTGCCTCACGTCCTTGTCCGTCTCCTCGTCAGACTCCCCGCTCATTCTCTGAACCACGGCATGAAGAATCGCCGGAGTGTACTTCGGCCGGAGCATGGGTCCGGTTGCTCCACACCACTCAACAACTGTCTTTCGGTTCCCCTCCTCGGATGCACATATCGAGGACATAGGTAGAGGAGCATGCAGGGAATTCCCATAAGCGTCAAGATAAGCTCCAGAAAAAGATTGCGAAGAGGGTCTCATTTTGTAAGCTGGCTCCAACGGAGTCCGATTCTCGTATTGAAAACGACAGTCGCCAGTGACTGGCATCATGGCGGGCACGTGACTAAAAGCCTTCGCGTCGATCTCTTTGTGCTCCCTTATAATGATCACTTGACCAGAAAAGTGAAACCCTGCTGGCGCAGCCGAATGTAGGAGAGAAGGAAGAGAGATAACAACTACTGCAAGTTGCAACTCGGCCGGTCGTTATCGGCGACCGGGAAGCCTCGGAAAGGGATTTTATTCACTTAAAATCAGGACTTTCACGCCCTCTCCGAAGCACGACTGTGAAACGAAACTTCAGTGTCTTCATCCATAGTAGTCTCAAAAGGCCGACCCGTGACAACGTCGACGAGGGAGGTCATGAATTCGTCGGAGACCCCGAAGTTCTCCTGATGGAAAATCATAAAACAGCGAGAGAGAGCTCCGGGGGTCGAAGCCAAAATGGGATCATAATGGTCCATTTGATCGGGAACCGCGCCGTGTCATAAGGCTACTAAAGCTAACTCTTCGGCTGTGGGATGAAATTCCGCAAATTATGGATGTCCAGGCCCACATCGATATATCCGACTCCATTCAAGCCCTGCAGCGGAGTAATGAACTGCTTTCATCAAGACTCAATTATCGGAAATCCTAAAAAGCTCGTGAAGACACGAATGAGTCCAGCGACTCGGTTGACTCAATAATTCTGCGGAATAGCGTAGGATGGAATCGATTCAGCAGCAGGAGGGAAGGAGCGTACAGAGGGACGATGGAAATGCGAGAAAAATCGTCGTTCATATCCTTCCCTATTTCCTGAGCGGGATGCTCGCTCGGTGCATTGTTCCGAGACCAGGGCGTAATCTCTTTTTCGGTAGCAATACAGTAAACAAGTCGGACTCAGCAATGTAGCCTCGCCGGGGAGGTTTTGTTGGAGCATGTCGGAGGAAGAACACTCATAGTAGGTGTTAGGCCTGAGTGTTCTCCGATAGACTCTTCCCTGCTGAGAGCATGAATGAAATCGATGCGAGCCCTCGAGTCCGACATCCCTCATCCTTGTCCCCAGATCGCCGGATCGGAGAGAAGGCACTAAGCATTCGGGTGCGGAACGAGAGAATCTTCCTCCGACTAACTGGAGAAGCCCCGCAATTCTCGAAAATTTTCCCGGGTACAGAGCCCTGCGGTGCTCGAGAACTCTCCCGGATAGACCGCTCCAGTTGGAGAGAGATTCGATTAGCGTGTCGAGGCATTCGCAAGAGCCATTCTTTCCACAAGCCTTCGGATGTGCTGCTCCTCATCTGTCTCAAAGTTGTTCGGGAGCGATTCCGAACAGCCATGACGTTTCTGATACAGCCTCGACGCTCAAAGAGACTTTCTCGCGTTTCCGACGGGATTGCAGCCGAATTGGGTTCACGTGTCCCGGTGGTCTGGACGTATTCGAGGAATAAGAGAAGAACTAACCTGAAGTGAGTGAAAATGAAGGCTGTCGCTGTAAGAAATATCAGCGATACACATGAGAAGATGAGCAGTATACAGGTGACGGTCATGGCGACCGACGGCGGAGCCGCTTCCGAGGGCTGTGACAAGAGAAGGAATATCAATCCGCCGCCAAAGTGAATCCTCACTCCAGCCTCCAGACTCTTTTTCTCGTATGTCTTCCGCCGAGGAGCGCCGACGAAGCCGGCGATTGACTCCCCCTCGGTATCCCGGAACTTCTCGTTTTCTCCATAAACCCAGTTCATCAAATTCACGAACGCATCTGAGTGTCTTTTCCGGGGAGCGTGTTCGAACATTTCTCCATCGGGATCTATTTTCGTGATGGAGATCCCCCCCTTGGAAGGAGCAGGAGGAATCCTGCCGGCCCCCTTCTTCCCCTCCATTCTTGTGGAATAGTTCGTTGTATGAAGCGCTGTGCCCTCCCGAAAAAGCAGAGGAACTGAATCCCGTTAATATGCTGAATATGCTCACCGCGGGTACCACAGCAGAACTCCACAATAACCACTTACGTTCAACAGCGCCACGCACGCGTTGTAATTTGTTTGAGAGTCCAGCCATGTACCTCCGGGTCCGCAGCTCTTGTAGGCAAGTGCGTCTGGAATGATCGATCATTTAGAGAATTTTGAACATGGACCTGGAAGGGACAGAGGGGATTCCCGAACTCCTGCATGCACGGCTCATTGTAAATATAGCTCTGTGGTGCAGGACGACGACGGAAATCCCGCGGAACTTTCGCGATGTGGGAGAATAGAAAAGATGAGCAGAGAAAAGTTTTTCTTGCCCCTTGTGGTATCGGGGGATCCTCAACCTGGCGAGGTTTCCATACATCAGACTGCCCATCAATCTCGACCTCGGTCCACGGGTTTCCAATCAGGGCTTCTGCGAAGACATGAAAAACATCGCATGGCAACCCCGACCATGACCCGGGTTCTCCCCCACAATTCCAAGGGGTCCAAGCAAGGTCCAAGCCAAATGGGAATCGATCGGTATGAGAGCGAGTGACGCCGGCGAAACTAGAATAGCGGGTCGCAAGTCGCAAATGATTTCCCGATTCTCAATAATGTACGAGGTTCTGATTGGCTGATTCCCCTCACTGACGGGCAAAGGTCGAGCCGAGAGTCTCAAGCCAGGATCTCCCCCGAGAAAGGTGCACTGGGGAGGATGAAGTATACCCAACACCAACTGTTTTGGGTAAGCTGAGCAGGGGGATCTCACATCTAGGGAGTGGCGGTCATCGGCGCGGGAATTCGCACCTACCTGGGTGTTCTTCGATCGCCGGCCCGAAGGTATGGAAGATCGAGTTGCATGATTTGGCGGCCGTGCTGCCGTTCTGAGCGGGCGGCCAGCATGAAATTCCGTCCCAGACTATGGGACACCAGCGTGTCATCAATGATCCTGTAATTAGAGAGAATTTCGTTTTGAGATCGCCTCATCAATGAGTCGTGAACATCGCGATGGGAAGTCAATTGGCTCGGTTGGCTCTCCTCCCAACAGAAAGTTTCGAAGGTTCCTCGGGGCGAATGTTCGTGCGGGATATTCAGCTCGGCTAAAGGCACAGCGCGGGTGCTGAGAATTTCAGCCTGAGACTCATTCAGACTCACTGATGTCTCCAGGCTGGATCTTGACTCGGGCGGAGCTGAGTTCGTTCCACTTGGCTGCATTTGGCTCACTTCTTTCGGAGCATAGGGATGGATGAGGGCACGAAAATAGAAACGGGGATTTGACCACGGAGAGCTCACTCTAGAACCTGTCCAGACTAGCCAGACACCCGGTAGAGGTGGGGCGAAGGTTGAGCATCCGGTGTGCCAATTACGAGTGGCTCAGATGGCCTATCAGGCCTCGAGTCAACAGCTCAGCATCGACCGGAAACTCAGGATCAATAACGTCCCGATTCCTCCGGCGAGGAGAACTCAGCGTTGACCTTTCATAGCCGGAAACATTCCGAGGAGAGTCAGAACCATCAGAGCGAAACCGCGAAAGCCCATGGTCCGATAAGCCTGGATACTCCTAAGAGAGGCGTCCCTCTGGAATTAGACGATTCGTCACGTCCGAAATATTGGGGTGTCTGTCCTTTCCATATGGTGATCAATCGAGCACTATCTGATGGCGGCTGTCCTAAGTTCTCTCGTCGGCAGCGGCCCATGCTTGGCTTGCGCACGAATTCTTTGGAAAATCCGACTCGTTTTCGCCTAATTTAGACAGGAAACGAGAAGAATAAGTCCATTCATTGATGAAAGGCCCTTCAGACTTCATCAGAAAAATTACGTAATTCTTCGCCCCGTCCATGGGAGATCATGGCGCTTGCCCATAGAATAGAGAAACACGAGCGTTTTAGAATTGACTCGCTGCAGGGACATTCGCATGCTGTGCTCGTGCTCTGACTTGGAGAGTGTGTACTCAGAGCCGCGAGCAATTCGGGTTCCAGACTACGCGACACAAAAAGGTCCGGGTGAAATCGCACATGTGGACTCGATCCGCCTAGACCCGAGCGAAAACCCTAATAAAAAGAGCTTCTGCTCATGCGTCCTCCGCTTGTAATTCAATAAGGCGCGACTCCCCTTCTTGCGCCATGCCTCTGGCTATGAGTCGCGTATCGCGTATAAGATAATTCCACGAAAGAAATCCCGGGCAGGCCCCATGACACTAACCAGACGGCGACAGGTCTCTGCAGTCCACATTCCTAGCGGGCAGAAAGCTCACAGGGTGGAGTGATTCTTCATTCACGTGAACACTTAAGCTACTCCATCATTCCGTGGACCACATCAGGACACGCGAGATTCTGGAAGACAGCACGATGCTTCGTCGAAAGATTAGCGGTTGCGGTCCCGGGATGACGAGCGCTTGATTGCACCGCGATTCGTGCCCGCAGTTACGACGCGGTGAATCATTCCCAAGCTCGTCGTTTTGTAACTTGTGCTTTCAAAAATCCCAATGCTCGTAGGTATGTCCGATTTATATTCGCAGCGAGCTTTCCCGATCCCGCCAGAACTGAGCGGGCCGAGCTTCCTCTCCGAATCAATGGCAACGGCGAGGCTCGACCGCTTTTGCGGCGGTGTTTCTCGGCCAGCGTCCCCGAAAACGCGAGATAATTCCAGCGATAGTCACAGGTCACAGGATCATCCCTGGTGATCTCTCCAACGTCAGTCCAAGTAACTGTTTGCCATCTTCCGGCGAGAGACGTCGAGGCCTTGGGATTTGATGCGCACCGGACTTGAGGGAGAGTGCAGACGGGAAATATGTTTCCGTTCCCACCATTATATATGTAGTGACGTTGCTCGATTTGTCTGCATGGCAGCAGGCAAGCTTCGTCTCGGATGTGTAGGGGGAACTCTTGGTCAATTGTGATGGCGGAACACGAACGCCGACGTCGAGAGGGATTAGATGAATCGTCTGCTCTCCCACAGGGAGGGAGAGGAATGGGGTCCCTTCGGCAGTGTGCGGATGGATCGAATGTCGTCCGCTCGCCATACCGATCCGCAGATGACATTGTATCACGCTGGGCGAGATAATTTGTTTCCAGACAAGATATACAGGTCGCGGCATGAGATGACTTTCCGGATCGAGTAGCTCTGCAACTATCCTCCTCCAATGATTTGAGCGGAAAAGTATAATCATGCTCATTGATCACGCCCACCCACTCTCCCGGAGACTCCTCGATGCCACGAGACCCGAGCTTGGGTGAGCGGACTCATTGATCTGAAGACGCGCTCAGAGCTCATTCAGTATGCCCACTTTTTCCTGTGTAGACGAAGCATCATCAATGACAGATGTAAGCTCGAAACAGCCCTCCTGGCAGACCGAAACGAGGGTCATATTGCGAATAGTGACTCGGGTTTGTAGCGACTCCATTCAAGGATGAATTCTGCTGTCACGAAATTCTCCGCCGTACTCCATCCAGGAGTGCGCCGGAGGTCGGAGGATTCCTAGCGTCGAATCGATCTCGCAGCAGTGGTGATTCATCATTCCATTTGGCAACCTGCATGCCGAAAATCATGATGGGAATCTAATCTCAGCCTTTTGCAACATCTCTGCCCCACGACAACTCATACAACCTAGAAACTCAGCGGATACGATTATGAAAACATGATGCAACTTCCCTCACGATATTATGAGCGGAATTCCGACGTAGAAACTAGGCGGGAATCATCTTCCCTTCGGTCCGCTCGATGTTTCATTGATCTCCGGCCTCACTCCTTCCCAATGATGTTTTCCAACTCATCCCAAACGACGACTCTCCTTCGGAACACAGCATGAGGGTTGACCAAGTTTTTCTTCTTGGAGATTGATGATGAGAATAATAATTGTTTCAGACCGACATCCGGCTTCGCGCCGCAGTCCCAAAAGGAGACTCTGCTGAGCTCCCTCCCTCAACAGTCTGAAAGCTATTTTGCATCAAATCTCGGCTTATCAGAATCTAATCTCTCTGAAAGAGAGAAAAGACAAGAAAACTAGACTCGAGCTTATCCAGCTCTCATCCATAGGGCCCAAGCATTCAGGCATCTGCGAAGCAGATCCTTTCCCCGTCGCTCCTCTAGACTCTGGAGTGGCATACCCCAATCCTTCCTTCCTTTCAGCCGATTCTTTGTCTCGTATTTTTCCCGTATTTCTTTTCCGCATGCCTCTCTACCTAGCCTAATCCCCTTCCTATCCTTCCTTGACTTATTCTCCGCCTTCCTTCCGTCTTTCTACCCACCATGTTATTTATGTTTCTGTCGTCACCGTATTCGTCACGAAAATATCCGTTGGAGATCCGTAGTCGTAAACAGAATGAGCTCCATCTTCTCACTCATTCAAAATGAAGAGAAACTAATTCGAGCTCTGTTAAGATAATTGATTCGAGCATACAAGCCATCCCGCGCTGAATGGTCGTGTTTTAGAGCCCGCTGTCGCTATAAATAGGAGGGAAAAGCCAACGCGGGCGAGAACTGTCATAAACCGAGGGCGGCGAAGACGTCGCAGCAGAATTTCGCAGAGAACGACTCCGACAAGAAGCCCCTCCAGGCAGAAAATAGCGTTTTTTTTCTGTTGTACTTAGCCGTCTCTTCCACTTCTAGGCGACATTGATTGCCATCCACGAGCGGAGGGCGAACGCCTATCGAGAAAGGAACGTCGCTATCAACCGCCATGCAGGTTAGCGTAGCGGAACGAGGTGAAAGTTTTCCCTTAGCTTTGAGAATCGATGTCGTGTCCCTGGAGCCCCCGACTTCCTCGCACAATACCAGATTCCCCCAGATGGAAGGGAATGATTCAAATGCGAATTTAGCGTCGGGTCCTGTATATATTATGTCCCAAATACTCGGGAGAGGCCTGATGTGGAATGATAATCCGTTGGAGGAAAAATCGTGTTTGTTGAAAAATCTGTTGTGCGACCGCAGGCTCATTCATCCGACGCAGGCGCGTGCCCAAGAATTTTTTTGGGGGGGCAAGGCCACCGTCTTGGTAGGGGCTAACTACCGATGATGATGTGCCTCAACATGGAACTCTATAGACCAGAAGGAGATCTCGACGGGGGCCTTGGCCCCTGCCCCCCCCCCTTTGGCACGCTACTGATCCGACGGGATGCGCAGGGCACTCGTCGCTATAAAGACTGGAAATAATGGAGAGAACCATCCTCTACGTGACCGGCCCTCAAGCAATATATGAGTGTGTGAGTCTATCTTCCGTGTGGTGTGTGGACTTCGTCGGGCTTGAGACTTCTGTGTCAAACGGAGTCTGAGCCTTCGTCAGATGTCTATCGGACGCGAATGACTCCTGATGAAGTCTCGAGGAGTTGAAAGATGTCTCTCTCTACCAGTGTACATAAGCGGCATCTGCAAATATGTACTAACAAGTTCGACCCTTCACTCAGGGTCAAAGGAACTAACCGCGGATAGGAATGAAGCTGTGCGTTCGCTACAAGGTCCCATGGGGATTTCGAGCTGTCCCACGATACTCCGCAAAGCTTGACGCGGAAATACCCCAACGATTATACTTGCGAGCTTCCTTAACCAACAGAGATTCTTATTCTGCGGAGGGCAGGGAAATGCACAAAAGTATACAGCGTATACCCCGGATATGACCTCAGAAGACTAATTGCGTCGAAACTTGGAGAATCTCAGGAAGAGCATCAGACCTACGAAGTTTCTCTAAGATCTAGAAGTCCTCGTGGGGCTGCAAGCGCTGCGAAAAATCCCGGAGATTTGTGCGTGCCATTCTTCGGCCAATCTCGGCGTGTGACATGAGGATTTCACGGCCTATGAATCCCTGGAGAGCATTCTGAGCATAAATCTTGCATATGCGCTGGTGAATGCTGATAACGATAACTCATGGCTGCTAGCGTATTTAATGGTCTCGCATCGTTCGGAAGGAACTCACTGATGCGGACAAAACTCCCGAAACTCTTATTAATTTCGAGATAACACGTGAGGAGAACGATGTTCTAAACTGCCCTGATGGGATGCGCAAACGTTTACGTATCGCGACCCCCGCACTTCGATCGTGGCGCGCTCGTTCAGCGAAACTCGAAAATTGCTCATCGGATGCTTGTTCTCGAGATGGACGCCGCTCCCCGGGAAATCCCCACGATTTGGACGGGGTAATGAGCGAATCTTGGCCCTATCGAAAACTCCCTCAGTTTATTCACAAGATCGTTTCTCTCGGAAAATTCCGATCGATCAGGTGCGCCGAGAGGATTGTTTCTTGGGAGCGAAACTGAGTTTCGGGAAGGTTCGAGGGCAAGAACGATGGCCCGCTGTCTTTTCCTACACGACGGAAGGTAGATCTGTTAGAGGCCAGAGCCTCACCTCCTCGCCTCAGACGAGCTCTCGGTCCACCGCACCAGTCCATTTGCCCTCCGAGTCCTGATACGATAATTTTTCGATTTGGATGCTGAATGGTTTGTCGGTGATGGGCGCGACGCGGAGGACCGAGAATCCTTGTGGCTTGAAGCCCATCGTCAGACACCTGTTCGTCAGATAATCAGGGCTGGCCTCCAGGAGGAAAACGCATGATTTCAGGATTTGCCTGGAGCTGTGGAACCAAAAGAGATTCGGTGCATGACAGACCAAGTGTCTGCCTGACGCAACCCAATCAGATTAGCCTGGCCGGACGTCACCTATAGACGGGACGGTGAACTATACGCTGGATTTCTGATCAGTATCCCGTGGCATCGATGCTTCTCATGCTTTCATTAATTCAACCGTGGGGAGCGATATCAAGCATTGCATCCCAGTACCTGACGCTCGAGAGAGACCGGGCAAGAGCCAGCAGTGCGTCGGCGTCGCTTACTGATCTGGCTTTTGACCTGCTAGCTGGAGAGTCCGTCGCAGACAAATCGCGCCGATATTCGCCAGTTGCCGCCGCAGTGCTTTCCATACCGCCATGCCGAATCTCTTCTATTTTTAGTCACTCAGTTTGCATAATCTACGACCACTACGACCGATGCCTCGAGCGATACTTCGACGATATCAGCACAAAGCCCAAGCAAATGATCGATTGTATGGACATCTCGCCGGAGTTCCCTGCAGGGACGCAAGTATTCCAATCTCAGGAGCCGGGTCTGAGCTCTTCAGCAAAACGCTCGCCGGCTTCCGATGGAACTTCGGGAGGAAACAGGAACGATTCATGAAAAACCTTCTGATCCTTTAGAGAGCCTTATCGACGGACGCCGCAGCTCTCAAAGCTCGCAGCTATCGCGTGCCTCGAATCAGGTCGTCGGACGCGCTCGTCTTTTCGCTGTCGTGAGTCGAGATAAAATTTCCTTCTATCCACTTGACTGCCCGGATGCCGCGGTAGTTTGAATACTCCGTCACAGGGGCATGATAGTGACAGGATAATCTGAATTCGTCCGAAGCCATCGAGTCCTGATGTGCATTGGGAGTTTCCAACAGAAGCAATGAATTGGAGGCCCCTCGTGGGTTTTGCTCTTCTCCTTCTCGATTATCGGGACCTTGCCGATTCCCTCGTGCTCCGGAGCCATCAGGGACGAGAGAAGTCCTGCTTATCTTGACCTCGGTTTGTCCCCCCGACGGGCCTTGTCTCGCAGTCCCCATAAACGCCGCCAATGCTTTATTCTGCTCTTCCTATCATTGTTGGGTCGCAGAGGGTCAGCGTTACGATTTTGAACATAGTTGGCGGCTCCGCGACAAGTAAAATCGCCGTCACGGCAGCCGAAGAGCAAATAAAGCGTGCAGAAAAGGACAACTTGAGCAGCTTTATGAGGTTCTGTGCAAACAGGGCATGTGCGCGATCAGCACGAATTTCTCGCTTGAATAGTCGCTCAACAGGAATTCGGTCGTGTATCTTCAGGACACGGAAACAATATCAACGCCATCTCTTGCCGAGGAAATTAGACGTCAGATCTACGGGCGTTTCGGTGGAGGGCCGACATTCTGACAGGAAACTGAGTCGGGAGAAAAAGACAGCACGGGAGTCTCGCGGCAGCCGAATCCCCGTAGTTAAAAGCAAGGTGTATTCTCGCGGAGCACTCCGTCCGGGGAATCCGAGCAACTCAAATCCGCTCGAAGAGGCATTCGAATCTCTAAATCCTCTCAAGATAAGCGCCGTTTAGACCATCCTCGCCGTTCCGAGCCACCGACACCGTTCGATTGACCGCAGCCACTCAAAGGAAGAGCGTGTCTCCTGTGGCAGGTGCTCACTCAGACACTCAATCGACGATACTGCCGTCATGTACGGTTCAAATTGGGTTGGAATCCTCGACGGTCGCCTTTAAAATAAGACGCGGGAGTTTGCAAAAGCGACGAAGAGCGGAAATGTGAATGGAGGTACTGGAAAGATCGCCGATTCGGACATGGGGACCACGCGGCAGCCTCGAAGACCGGCAGGGCGGGTCGAGGGCAGTGGATCGCGTCCAGCGAGCTTTCGCCATCGATTGAGCCATCACAGTTCTTGATAATCTCAACTCGAAATGCAACCACTGACGTCGCGGACCGACAAGTCGGCTTCTTATAGGACGCGGCTCGCTCATGAGCCCACTCAGCCGTCTCTGATCTGGGCTGGAAACGAGCTGCGAAATCACGCTTAGGGGGTACTCTTCGATGGTACATCGATAGAGTTGCGATATAGGAGGACAGGGATTATTCTGTCCATTTTTGTCCGCTTCCTCGATTTTTCGAGAAAATGACCGGTTGCGGGATTTGCGGGGGAGTAGCGCTTATTCCGACCGGGGATTGATTTTTTCCCGCCATTTTCCCCGAACTCGGCTACGGGACATCGACGGCACGGGCGTGAACCAAGGGCAGGATCGGAGATTTTCTCCCGGGCGAATTGTCTTTGAAGAATCAGAGTTCCTTCCAAAAATTCTAATCGGAAAAATTGTTTGAGAGTCGGATCAATCCTATGAAGCGGGCCGAAAACATGGAACGTTCCCGCTTTCTATGTTCGCTTCTCGTCCAGATATGGGCGCGGACATTATCCTTTTCCGGGAGAAAAATATCCACTCATATCGAAACTCTATAGATTGGTGAGGCTCTGCTCACGATTCCGAGAATTTTCAAGCTTGATTCCATAGAATACCACCGGGACTGTGTCTCGAGTTTTTGTTCGCCTCCTCTTTGTCGCCGTGACCATTGCTATACTCTACAGGGACTGTGAGACTCGCATCAGGAGCTCTAAGTTGCTTCGATGCGAGAATCCGCCCCGCACGTTTCTTTCAAGCAACAATGAGACGCTTCGATATTAGGAGAACATTTGACATAAGGCTTCGGATTCAAGTTACGGGAAGAGACTTCCCGTGTTGACGAACTCGAGAACGAGAGCCAGACGCGAGTCCCCGGTCCCGTTTCCTGAGGCAATCTTCGTCTCTCGAAGTTCGACGTTCCGAGCAGTGATTCGCCATCCCGGGAATAGTGTGGTCACCGCCGGTCCTCGTTGACATTTCCGACCGGATCCTCTTCTGGAAGCCGCGCCTGTCGTTGATGGCAAGGTCTAATTTACCGGGATAGGATCCAAGGTCTGAGGATGCCAGCCCTGATAACTTCTTTCCTCGCCATGCCCAGCTGTTCAAGAACCTGGTCCAGATCTCGTTTGTTCTAAATTAGAAAACGCTATACATCAGGCTTCTGAGTTTTGATTGCAAGGTGCTGCGAGCATCAGCGTCGAATCTCATTACTGAATTGAATGCTAGCGAGACTTAGGAGACGAATAGATTAAGGAAGGAGGAGCAAGCACCGGAGCTCAGCCAAAGCGCCGCGGACCGAAGCCGCTGAACTAAGAATCGCCTCTCGGCTTTCGAACGGGTATCTTCCGACTTCCTCAGCTGTGAGGGCAGATAGATATGCCCGGCGATATTGGACGGCTCACGGATCGGATGATCAGGAAGCATCATAGAGGATCTATGATTGTCGTCGAGTTTAATCCATCGGAGGACTCCGGAGAGGGATGGGATTGGAGATTTCGAGAATGACGACAAAGCTCCGCGCCGAGTCGACGTAGGGATCACCGCTTCCCGCGGAAATCCTCCGGAAACGAAAACTCTAATTTACCGCTTGAGCAGAGGTGGTAGGGCATTCGGACCGACTCGTCTTGCCTCCGGCGTTCTGGCTCCTGACAATTTTATGAGGGCCCTCCGCGTGTCGCTTCTCATGGAATTTCTGAAGCTCGATAATCACTGTACGCACCCTTTTGTTTCCAAAAGTCGAGAGCAATTCCACATTCTTCCTTTGTCATATATGAAAAGCGCTCGTCAAACTCCAGGCTGGAGGCAATCAACGTATCTATTGTTGTTGGCACAATGTTCTCCACTGTTTCATTAGGAGTCGGAGTCAATGTCTTCATCGCGACGGAAGCACAGAACTTTTCTCAAACTCGGCTTGTTTGCACACCCAAGAATCAGCTCATATTCGCGCCAAACTCAAGTAAATGAATGAAGTTTTCGTGGAGTTCCCCGAACACCTCTCCACCAGCCCTTTCCGGAAACTCTGCGAGCGCCCTCGTCGGACCTTCGCTGAACCCCGTGGAAGTGAGATTTGAGTCCACATGTGTGGGCAGCCGATAATTTTTTCCTCTGAATTCCGGGGAATTGGCACCGTTCCATTCCGCATCCATAGCGACTTCTCGGAGCCTTGGCATGGAGCCGATGTTTTGCCGAGTGTGCCTCTTTCCATCATCTCAATGATTTTATGGGGAGGAGTTGAAGGACGGCGCTGAGTGTCGTTCGATCACTGTGAGACATGCTTCCGGGACCTGAATGAGATTTGCTCTTCCTTTTTCGCGGATATCGCAATTGATCATCCACTTTCCACACCTTCGGACTTGAGAATGGATCTTCGTTCGTTCTGAACGCCTCGAGGAATGTGCGAGTTCGTTGGAGAAAAACTTTCTCCCTTGAGCGGTTCTTTCTGTGGCTGAGAGCCTGTTCACGGCGGCTCTCCAATGCGGGACGGCTAGTTCATCAGAATACGACATTAGAATCGGCAATCATGATCATCCACATCGTAATAATAATTACAACTGATGAATATTTCATTCATATAATCGCTCTCAAAGGAAGATCTGTGGCGCCACCGGTCGTAATCGAAGGCCGCATTCCGATTGAATGCTCAATGATGAATGATGACTCATTCTTTCAGTCTTCCAGGATTGTTGCCCGTCGGTCAACCTCATTTGGGGTTCTCAAGTGAGACAACGAGACAAATTTTTCTTGAACACTCCAGCCGTACGCCTCCAAAACTTCCTCTCTAAATGCTAATTCTGTTCCATTCCAACCCGACAGCTGTGACTGACGAATCAGAGTCGAAACGCGTTCTATATGTGAGAACTGACATCCATCGTCGAAGGTACAGATAATTCCCTCGTCGCGTCGCGTCGTAGTGTTCTCCCTCGTTCTCCCGATACATCCGAGAGAAGAATATCCAGCTCTCCCCGCATGAGATCCAAAGCCCCGTTGAGTGACCTCCCCGCAGCCTGAGCCTTCGAACGTCTTCGGGACGTCCTAATCTCTGCCTGCACACACCTTCCTCGAACCACGAGCTGCAGCCGCCCCACGCACTGCTCGTCGGGAGGAACTCTTCAGCGCGCAGTCTGAAGGGAACGTTTAGCGCACTTTATTGCATTCGAGGCCAACTCCGGGAGCACTGCTCGTTTCAGCGACTTGCTTTCTTGATTCAAATGTTAGGCTGGTGCTGATGGAGCGGCTTTCCTCGAATTCCGCGAGTGCTTGCTCGAGTCGTCGTAGCGATAAGGCATACCTCATTCCGAGTTCCAGCGCTTGTGGTTTCGGCTCCCTATGCCTGGGAGAGGGTCCCATATCGAAGCGTTTCTGCACCCGCCCATCATTTTCCCGGCTGAAGCGTGTAGGCATGATGTCATGAGATAAGCACCCTCTTGGAGAAGTAAAATCAGCGTTGAATGTTAACATTCAGATGGAACCCGCTATACCGGCTCTCCGCAGTGAAACTCTCCGCAGCCTGCCGGCTCCAACGAGAAATTCACCGAAGAGGGAAACTATTAGAGCCGCTCAGTGCGCTAATGCAGGAACGAGCGACGATCGAACTTTATAAGTCGTTTCGAAGCTTGATTTGGAGCTTTCTCCCCGGAATAATGCTGCAATCGAGAATGGTGACGGCTCGCCGAGTTCCGAGGTCAGGGAAGAAGCTCCAAGGCTACCAGATTCCAACGGTTCATGGTTATTTAAGCGCGGATTGATCTGAGCGCATGATCGATTTGAGCGCAAAATCAATCTGAGCGCATAATTGATCTGAGCTCATGATTGATCTAGGCGCAATTGATCTGAGCGCGATTGATTTGAGCGAAATTGATTTGAGCGCAAATGATTTGCGCGAAATTGATTCGAGCGAAATGGATTTGAGCGAAATGGATCTGAGCGAAATGGATTTGAGCGCATAGTTGATTTGAGCGCATAGTTGATTTGAGCGCATAGTCGATTTGAGCGCATAGTTGATTTGAGCGCGTTATCGAATTGAGCGCAGACTCTCGAGGCGCTGCTTGGAGAGTGTGGCTCGGCTATAAACCTGAGTTCGTGCCGGTGGGGGCACAGCTCCGGAACTGAGATCGACGCTCGAATGGAATATGGCTTCATTCTTGGCGTTCAAGGATTTGACTGATTTCTCTGGAAGTACCCCCGCAGGCTTCTCGACCTGCGTGGATCCGTGACTAGAGCGATTCGCGGCAAAGGAAAAACTCCCCCTGGTCGGTCGGGCGGTTGGGACGAGGAGCCTTCCCCCTTCCCGAACAGAAGAAAGGGATTTTCCAGTAATTCCTTCTTGCTAAGAAGCGCCAACCATACGATTTTCCGAGGCAGGGTGCCCAATTTCTATCCTGCATTGACGATGCATTGTCGTCGAGCTGAAAGCGGGCACTAACACAAAACTCCCGGCCCTCGACTAGTTCATAAAAAAACAGTCGAGCGATTCAGCGCCTGGCAAGCGGAGAATGAGAAGAGGCTTCCTGGTCTGCCTTCCGTGTGCCAGGAGCCTTGACCGTTCTGTAAGCTCGAGGCCTGTTCCCACATTCCACGCTCTGTTACTTCGAACCGCAGGAATTGACAAACATTCTGAAAGAGCAGCTGCCATGCGGAACACTCGGGAGCCTGCAGGAATCGAGAGCCGAGGCGAGATGCCGCTGCAACGGCCTCGTCTTTCGAGTGAGGCTCCCGGAGCTGTATCTCCTCCGCGTGAGTCGCGAGCTCGCAACGGGGAATAACCAACATACACTCAGTCACCCAATTCGACATACCTAATTTGATTCCCTCGGAATGTCGCGCATGCGCGGAATGGGAGTCCGGTCTTCGATCAATTCTGACAGTCGGGAGTGAACGTCGGCGTCCTTGTTACCGTGTTGTGTCGTTTCTGTCTCTCGCAGAGCTCGAGCAGCACGGGAGCGCCATTCGAACTGGAAGAGAATGTGGGGAGTGCTCATCGATGCGGAGTCTCGATTCTGTCTTACTGCGAAGTTTCGTCAGCAACCATCTCCTCGCCACGCCAGTGTAGTACGTTCTCTCGTTTCGATGAGGGTTATTCCTGGGTTCGCTAGCGTCGCATCTCATTTCTATGGACACCGTATCTGATTCATTCAATCGCGAAATTCGATTTCAGATCTCTCCCATCCTCCCTTTTCAGCAGTATTACATTATGCAATTTTTCGACGGACGCTGCGGCTGTGCGACAGCGAGAACGAACGAAACAGGTCCTGTGTACATACATAGAGTATCTGTTTCCGAGCCCGGATCGATAGAGGGCCACGGCGGTGTTTCCATGCCCTCGACGGCTCTTATTGCATTCAGATTCCGCTTGCTTCGATTGGCATACCTTTCCTCGCATGTTCGACTGAGTCTACCGGAGCGACAGGAGTTCAAATATAGACGTTAGTGTACAAAGCTTGGCTGCGCTTCCTCTCGGGCGGCCCGCCTCGTCCCGGAAAAACAAAGAAAATCCAAGGTGAATTTCTTTGAAATGTATTCGAGAAAACAAATCGCTACTACAACGCAGCTACAGATTGATTTGAGCGGGGCTGAGCCAATGGAGCCCTGTTTCACTTTCGAGGAATAAATAAGTTTGGCAGACGTCGATTATGTCGAGTAGAAGTCCTGCGCTTTCTCAATATCCAGGGGTCCACAGAATTGGTACACCAAGCGCTGGGCTTGCTCCGTTTTCCTGATGATTCCTGAAGTCATAAGGTTTTCCATTGTCTCTAAGTCTTCGCAGTCGAAACTGATCTCGGCGTCTTGGTCGAGATCTCCAGCTACAATCAATACAATAAAGATCGTGGGGCGGACAAAAAACCTGTGTGAGGAAGACCCGAGGCTCACCTTTCCGATAGTACTGCCTGATGGATCTCGAGAGTTTGTCGTAGTTCATTGCAGGTCTATTCTTTCTCTGACCCCAGAGCTTCGCGACTCGCACCGAATTCTCAATTTTGAAAATATTTTTCGCTTTGTCGATCCATCGAATGCAATCCTGATGTTGCGGACTCGATAAAAGTTGTCGGAGGAACTGCCACAAGTGAATCTGATGCCCTGAAGATCCTGGCATCGGTTTCGAAGAATCTTCTGTTGAGCGAAGCACGATTTTAGCCACGGCGGAGATATTAATATACGCGACGACCATCTCCAAACCCATGAAAGAGACCTTCATCGCTGGGAGCTGGAGATGTGAACTCACCGTCGCTCTCCTCGGAACAGGCAGATGAAGACGGCCGTCGATTATTGTAGTAAACAACCTCAGGCGAGATCGTCAGGTCGTGATGCGTGGGGATCATTGTATCCCACAATTTCGGATCTGGATTCCCCGTCACGTGGAAATGTGCGCACTGGGTCCCTGAGAATTCATCAGATACATTTCTTCTTTCAGCGCGCTCCGGTGGACGCCCGATTTTCTCCAGAGCCGCAAAAATGACTCACCCGATCTCCAAATGTCTAAGTTGGCAGCGATCTTGTCCATGACCAGAAGATGAACCGACTGCAAGTCCATCAAATCGATCCATCTCCGAGGATCCTCGCAGAAACCAATCAGTTGTGAGCCAGTGCACTGAGAGGAGCGAGAGCAAAAGTATTTTTAGGATCGAGAGGGGGTTCCTACCTAATCACTGTACTACGACGGCTTCGCCGGTTGCATAAGCCGATTCGAGGATGGACTCCTGCCCAATTGTTCCCGGAAAAGGAGCCTGATTTCTTTCACCTTCACGCAGCCTACCTTCATGAGAAAGTCGAGGGTCTTCCAACATTTGTCTATCTTGCGCTCGTTCGAGAGCCACTGCAACCAGTTCTGTACATCGATAGTATTCCAATCGTGCGGATCTGAATCGAAAGGAAAACTGATCTAGTGACCGCATATTTAACACGGAACATGCGCAATTTAATATTAAGATTTAGGGCAGTCCCCTTCCTCTTCTCGGAATATATCGGTTTCCGTACGACCAACATGCGGATGAAACCCAGCAGAAAAGAATCGACCCCCGATCCCTGTGGATCTCGAAGGCACTCAGTAGCGAAAGTATAATTGAAATTCAGCATTGGGCTCTTCCCCAATGCAATCGAGACCTATAAATGTCAGCTCAGAACGCAAAAGCGTCGAGTAGAGATACAGCCTCGGATTCGGAAATTCTTATGAGAAGTCGGGCTAAGGATCGACCACGGGACAGGAATCGATGAGGCTCAGCGCAAAAAGATTCCTATGCGTCGTTATATGAATGAAAAACGCTTCAAAAAGAATTGATCATCCACGGATTTGGATCGGAGTAGGATCTCTACGGGCTGTGACACGCACCGACATAGACTTTTCCCCGCTCGGAAACAATTCCAATTTTAGGTCGAACCGCAGTTGAACATACTTGATGAGATGCAAAGCTGCCGACACGCTCTTTGAACGTCGCTCGCGGCTTGTTGAAGGCAGAGTGCTCTTAGGTGTTCGAGAGTGTCATTCATCGAGGGAAGCTCCAAACTATTAATTGGGCCCGCCGTGTCAGGTATTCGCCATGGAAAATCTTGTTCTGTTCCTAATGAATTGCTCCCGGCGGATTTCTGCGGCTCGCTTCTCATAAAGCTGTCAGGCGGGGCGAGATTCTGCTTCATTTCTGCAACATCAAAAGAGAACCTGAGCAAGATATCCCAACTCTTTGCGAGAGCTGATTCTGAACCGAAGGAGGACGACTCGACACGTCTTTCGGAGATCACGGGGTTTTCGAACTGCCCACCGATAATGTTCTTCGATTCGAGTTCAATTCCCCTCATAGTCAATCTATTTGAATGAAACCCCCTCGTCGTCACTCACCTATGGCCGGAGTTTTAGCACTTGAACTACACCGATGTGAACACAAGAAACCGACCTTCGTCATAGGCAATCACGGCGCGCCACCAATTTTAATATCATCAATGGATATCGAGCGGTTCGGGAAGTCGGCGAAGCGACTCGCTCTGCGGCCAGCGTCCAACCCACCACAAACTCTTTCAGGAACACGATTTTTGGATAAATAGCTGATGGGAGTGAACTTTGACCCTGAACCCTTACCCAGGCTGAAGGTTCCTACCGCTGGACAAAGGTCAATTGATGGTCCCATCGTAACGAGCACTTATACGGGCTGCCGACCTTAGATGAGAGCCTAGAATAGCTGCGGAAAGCCATCGTAGTCTACGGCATCGAAAAGTGCTGCCCTGAGACGGATCGTGCCGAAAAACCCCTATCGCTTTTTGATGCGGCCGAGATTCCCGCAGCGGGGATCAATTGTATCTCAGCAAGGACCGATAAATTTTATCGCCAGCCCCTTTGTCGCTGTTTTGAAGAACTAGACGATATACAGAACTCGCTGATGATTCCCCAATTAAAGCTGGGACCGAGTCAAGGGATTGACTACACGAAAAACCTAGAGGAATCGTGGATCGTCACCATCGCGTAGCTGTATAGAAACTGTGAAGTGACACAGTCGGGAGTGCAGTGTTATCTGAAAAGCCCGCTGGCAGAGATACCTCGACGCCTGGCGGTCCTCGCGCAGTCTTTTGGAATTATTCTGCCACCGGTGTACTGAGCGGTAGAGCTTGTGCCTTGATTGATGGAGTCTCACTTACCTCGCGGAATCGGCCCTCAAATAAACTCATAGGACCCGTCGACCTTCCAGACTTATTGATGCCCGTTTTCTCCCGCAGATATGCTCATGCTCGGTGCCGACCCTCGCTCAAAGTCGAAATGAAAGTTCTGGGAAAATAGAATACGGAGCCTGATTTCTGGGAAATGGGTTTGGATCTGAGTTCCTTGAGCGAGTATTTCCCGTCGAGTCTTTGGACCTGTCATCTGGAGTGTTCCCATAGTCTAGAGAAAAGATGGTAATCATTGCGCGACCCGTGCCGCCAGATGGGACAGCCAGAATCTCACCGGCAAGTTGGCAATGTCAGGGTGGATCAAAATCGCTACATTAATCGATCCACGCGCCCACGCCTTCTCGCCGGTGGATTCTTCGACTTTCAAGCCTGCAAACTTCCAGGCTATCTTCGCTCGGAATGTAAACAGCCGGACTTCGAAGGGACATCTAGCCTCCTCGACCTGGCCATATCTGTTCCGACAGTTCCTCGCGGAACCGACTCCGCGATCTGACGAGACGTGACACGGAAGTTTTCGTGGCGTTCATCGTGATCCTATCGTAGAGAGACGAAAGTCATGTGGCACCGAAAATCAGAATCTCAGGCCAGTAATGCGGCGGCGAATGTATGCAGTTCCCTCCTCTGAAGCTCCAAGGCATGACTTTCATCGAGCTGTTCGCAAGTGCTGCTCGCCGATTTGTAGAAAATCCAATACCCTAAGACACCTGTTCTTATCTTTTGGTATCTGAGCTCGATACGAGCCTCGTCGATGGAGAAGAGAACACGGCTCGATTCTCTCGGATCCCAGCCGCTCGAAGATGTAGTCAGAGTTTCGCTGGTTTCTTGTCGGAATGTCCCTCTTGTGGATGCTGAAGCGCGAGCTGAACTTGCCTCTGATTCACTGCAGCCCCGCTGTAGGTTCGAGTCTCGTTCTTATCATCGTGTCAATTTTTGAGATCAAAGATTCTTAGATCGACTTGGGTCAGCAGCCTAAGCCAAGTGGGTGCCTACCCGCTTCCTATTAGGGCTCGTTTTAAACATTTTAAGGTAATTTATTCTCCATTCGCTGCCCGGGACGTTTATATGTATAGTAGGTACATGGGAAACTACTTCAGGTATGCGAATCTCGAGCTATTGGTCTCCTCGGGTCGGCTCGTTGGATGTCCTATTGGGGCTAGGTCACCTGCCAGTGCCATTATTTGTCAGTTTTCACCCATCCTAACCTCTCACAAGCTGGAGCCTGAGAGTCGGGCATCTGAGACGGTACCCAGTGGTCGGAGGAGGAAATGATCACAATGAATTCATTGTAGCCCACAGAAATCGGGAGATTCAGTGGAAATTCGTGCTTTTGCGAACGGAGTTGACAACGGGAGTAGAGCTGATATAGCTTACTGGGTAGTTCTTGTCGGCTCCGCAAAATGAACATTCCCCCGATGATGTTTTTCGTCAATATCTCGAGATCATCAGGTCCGGTTTCACTCCCCTCACGGCTGTATCATGAGAAGCTTGGGAGTAGGAGATTACCGCCTTTCCCCATTCTCCATCCATCGCGTCATGTTCGGTCCACGATCGTCCTGTCTGGCGCCTCCCCACTCTCCAGAGACATCCCATACCCCAAATGAGACTCGGCTGAGAGAGCTTCAAGCGAACGGAAACGATTAGACCGAATTGGCGCGATTGGAGGATGCGGAAAAAATATACCGCACATCAGGGCGCGTCATATGGAATGCCTCCCCGTGTCGGGGATCCTCCGGCTTCGTAGATTACAACCCTCCTCCTGATCGCCTGATTGAGAATACCGCCCTTGGAGACTTTGACCTCGGGCGGATTCAGGAAGTCCCCCAGAGGGAGCCGTCGAGGTCCGAAGGGTACGCCTTCGGTACTCGAGTTCTCCGGCGATGTTGCACACGGGAGAAAACAGCAGGAATCACCCCTTCCGCCTCATAAAGCTTGTCCCCGCGGACGTGCGACCGAATACCATCCGAGACCCACCGCACCTGAAATAATCGAGCGTAGGTGTGCCATTCGTGAACTGGCGACCGCTGTCGGCGATAAGGGTGTCTTATTTAATGCTTTCGAATTATCGTATCAGAGATTTTCCAATCTTTATCGTACGCTCACTGACTGAGATTCTAATCTTGGGACTGATGGCTCGCGACTTCCACGAAAGCACTTGTCGATGTCTCGCACAGAAGATTAAGAAGTGCCAAATAGTTGTCGCGGAGTGCTCCGAATTGGGAGCGTGACAGCGGTCAAGTGGATTTCGAAAGCGTCCCGGCACGAAGTCCATAATGTAGATTGATTCTTTGACCCACACACTTTCGCTGAACGGAACATTCTTGGAATATTAGACGCCATACCTGACGCTACCTGATGGATCAATGCGAACGCTTCTCGCATTTGTTTCGGTAAGTACTTCTCCAGATGCTTGACTTCCCACTGCCAGAACTTGTGCATTCCATGAGCGCTGTCACAGCGTCACAGCGAGGATTCACGTGGGTCGGATCCGTATCAAGGCATAACTCGACCCGAGGGGAGAATGATGAGATAGGCTCTATAGTTCAAGCGGGAGGTTCATCCTCCGGTGGAATTTTCGGGACCAGACACTGAGAGGGATTTAGGATCCTTGTTCCCGTAACACGCGTAATCAAGAAATTACCACGAAATCTCGGAGCAATTGCTGTCATCGCGTCGTGCTCCGAGGCGACCCCATATCTAAATGAGAATTTACTGGACTGAGTGTCGACGCTATTTCATTTCCGATAACTTATCCGGGTCTGGCCGCAGTGAGCATGTGAACTGTCAATTTTCTTTGACTTCCGATCCCAGCGCCTGATTCCGCTTATCAGATGGATAATAATCAACGAACGAAGCGCTCCGTAAATTCCATGGGTGAGAATTGCATTCATTGGAAAAGTCATTCTGATTGACCGATGATGTAATCGTCCCCTTCCCTTGAAAACGACCTTGGCCGGCAGGTGGCGAGGGTTAAGACCCCTTGCCGCCGGCGGAAGTTCCTCACGGGAGTGTTCATCCACCTGGATGCGTCTGTCTCCGTTCTCGCGTGCGATGCTATTGGCTTAACCCGAGACTACAGACCTCATGTGTGCGGTCCAGCTCGAAAAAGTTTATTCTCCAGATCACAGTCTCCAATCAAGGGAATCTAAGCTCCCGATAGACAGACTCCCGGCCTACTCGAGGGAGGTTTCCAGTGAGAAGCGGCTCCGGGAAGTCGCGGGGACTAGGGGAGCGGGAAGACGGCACGCTCCGGCTGTCGGACAAACTGCTTTCAGAGATCCGATATCCCTGGGCTAATATCCTCAATCGGGCGGAGCGTTGACCGTGGTCACGTCAGCTGTCGTGCATTGCTAACAAGAAACGGAAATGGCGGAAAAAAACTCGGCCGGAGTCGCGTAGAATGCTGGCTGTCCAATATATCGACAATCAGCTCTCCGATTCGATGCTGCGTCCATTGCTCTCCGAGCGGCGGAGCTCTTCGCCAGTACTACACACCTTTTCAGAATGGTTGAGGGCAATGGGACGTTGATGACAACCTAAAAAGTAAGTAAGAGACTTCACGAGGGTTCCTGTCCCGGTGTTTTTCTCGCGGGTTGCATTCTGACCCAGGAGAGAGAGAGCGGAACAAGAGAGAGAGAGAGAGAGTGTCGAGAGCAAGCATCAAAATCGCGGTGCTGTCTATTCTCGGATTGATTTCATGTTGAGTTCCGTCGCTCCTGATCTCTGCGGATCTTGTCGGAATTCAGCGAGGGATAGGGCAAGCACCACTGAGCAAACATCGCAGTCGACAGATGTTACTGCCTCCTTGAAGAGAAATTCAGAGGAGCTTGAATCCTCGGATTTCGCTTCGAGCGGTACTTCACATTGTCTTGCCCTCGGCTACGCTCCATACGTTCTTCAGACAAGCGTCGCTGGACACTGACCTCTCAAACGGCGCCGGCGGAGCGAGCACCGCAGATGTTGCCTCTCGAGCTTTTCCGACCCCACAGGACCTCTGAGTTTACCCACTATGCCGTGAACAGGAGTGCTCCTAACGTGGAAATTCGAATCGCCCAACCTCTCGACGGACAGAGTCTCGAGTGTCCGATCATAGTCGAGAAGCCCTCGTTAACAATGTTCTGACACGAACAACGAAAGAGCTATATATCGAACCCTTCCTAGAAGTTTCCGCAAAGTTTGCAAGCTCGGAGGATCCTCACGTCAATCGGAGCGACCAGGTTCTGAATTTCTCGCTTATCGAGGGAATGATGATTAGTTCACGAGTCGCCTCAAAACCCGAAGAGCTGGCCAGACAATAAATTGAGTAAAGCGCCGGGATTTAACATCGATACTCCGAATAATCGTTGTTGCTAG